ACCTATAAAAGCTCAAGAAGTAGATATGGATCAAAATTTGCTAAGTTTTTTTATAATGGACTGTTTTCTGATATTTTGTGTTTCTTTACCGCAACGCCTGGAGCGAAGACATATGGAATGCCTGTTGCTCTAACTTCAAGAGCAGTTGCCGCACCAATTCTCTTCACTAGTGCTGGATCCCTGAGAGTAATCAATATCCCTAGTGGTAAGTTATACTTTCAAAATAGATAGGAACAATGACTAAAATTAGAAATATCAACTTATCAAATTTATTAAATAAACGCTCAAGTTTTATGTACATGATAAGATCATAGATCATGACTTCGTTTGGGACGACTGTCTTCTAGCTTCTTAAAACAGCTTTTTAGATATTACTTTAAGAAATAATAAAAAAATCGTCTCAAATGAAACCTATATCTACCTAGATCACCTAAAAATATTGTTGTAGTGGCTTGTACCACACCTCATTATAAAAAAAACTAACAGTTCTGACAGTTTACTGAATAAATTTCTGTTGACCTCTGTATAATATTCAAAGAACCAAAAAATAAAATCATATCTTAGCTCTGTCGAATCCCTGAAATCCCGCTCAGATACCTCGTATATGTCGAAAGCATCCGCGAATCCCGCCTGAAATCCTGTTGAAGCCGTTGGACTCGCATCTCGTCCCGGGATTTATGCGTGAAACCTGCGACATCAGCCCCGATCAAGCTCCTATTCGCGGCTTTAAAAGGAGAACAAAGTTGAGCTTCGTTCATGGGATTTCCACGAGCATAACACCGGCTGAAGCTCTGCTCTTCCTATTTCTCCTCTCCATTTGGCCCGATCTCCACACACGGCTGCTCTCGACTCTCATAGCTGCTTCCGACCTCCTCAGCCCCCATCCGATCTCCCAAGGTCGGAATCCCATCCTCAGCCCCGAGCCACCGCCTCTAGCCTTACCCGACCCCGTCAACCTCCTGTCTGTGCCGACTCCACACACGAACAGAGAGAGAGAGAGAGAGAGAGAGAGAGAGAGAGAGAGAAAGAGAGATAAGGAGAAATCAAAACCCCTACCTCATTCACGGACGAGCTCCCTCCTCCGATCAAGCTCCATCCACAAGTCTCCCATCTCCTCCTCCGACCTCGCCACTGTGCCGAGCCCGGAATCCCAAGTCGCCTCTCGTCCGACCTCCCTCCCTCGACGACATTCCCTTACTGTCGGATTGGGAGTTACACCATTTTGATCGGAAGCAACAACACGAGCTCGCTGGCTTTGAAGGTGGCTCTCCCTCACGCGCGCTTGTTCGGCCAAATCCCGTAAAACTTCCAAGCCGAGAGGGAGAGGGAGAGGGATTAGGCTTTTATTAAAATTATTTTTAATTAATCATAATTATTATGATTAATTATAATTGATTTTAATTGAAATAATTATAATTAACCCTATTAATTATAGTTAATTTTAATTAGAATTGATTTTAATTAATTGTAATTTATAATACTTAATTATAATTAATTATTACTTATTAATTACAATTTATTAAAGTTAATTAAAGTTAATTAGTTATAATTAAAGTTAATTATAACTATTTATTTTAATTACTTTTAATATGTAATTAATTATTTTGATTAATTCTAATTAATTATTTAAAAATAATTATGATTAATAGATTAATTATAATTGCTTAATGATAATTAGAATTAATCCTTTTTTTATTAATAAAAACAAAAATGCGCCCCTCCACTCTATTATCTCGACATTCTTGTCGGGACCGGAAAATCGCCCCAAGCACGCCTTTGGTGCGTGTGGTGGGATAGGACCCTGATGCGACACCTACGACGTGATAGGTGAGTGAACCCTCTAATCATGTACCAACAATGACAACCCGCTGGGAGGTATGAATTTTCTAAACTCAAAAACCCCCCCAACCCCCTTCAATGTTTGGGAAACTGGAGAACCGCCCAGGCCGCCTTTGTTGCGCGTGGTGTGGATGGGACTCCGGTGCGGCACGTACGGCGTGCGGGGTCACTTATAAGTACCCCCGGGCGGGGTGGGGGGGAATCAAATTGTCCTCTTTTTAAATAAAACGCTTTTTAAAACCTCATGCACGCCTTTGGTGGTGTGATGGGAGAAAACAAAAAAATCACCGCCGCGGTGTCTCACAAACACCAACCGTGCACGTCTTTGTTGACATGGCGGGTAGGCGACCTCTTGGTTTTTCCCCTAAACGGGGGAGACACCGGGAGGCTGCCGAAATTTCATTTGAAAATATTAAGGACTTGGACAAATTTGAACTTGCATTGAACTCTCATTTGAACTCAATGAGACTCCAAGGACTTTGAACAATGTTTGGACAATAAAATAAACTCAAATGAATGTGGAGAACTTGAACAAGCCAAAATTACAGTGAACTTTATTTGAACATGCAGAAGACTTGTTTTGAACTTGAATTCAATCAAAATATAAGAGGCTCAAATTCCCAAAGGGGTTCAAAAAACTAAACTAGAACTTTAATTCACATGATCACAAAGAAGCTTGGACATAGAACTTGAATTTGCACTTTGAACTCCAAAAGAATGAGAACTTGAGTTGGACATTTGAATTCAAGTACTTGATCATATGCTTTGAACTTGGACCATGTAATATCAAGTGAGTTTTTGATAATGAATCATGAATTGAATGATCCATAAGAATTCAAGTTGAACCATAGCACAAGGAATCCAAATGAGCCATAAGATGTTTGAACTTGAACGAACAAATCATATAAAACCAAACTCTTAATAGTGTAGAGTTGGAACCAAGCATGAAGGAGCTTGATATCATGCTTAAAGTGAAGTATGAGTGGTGAGATAGCAATTCCTAAATAAATGCAAGAGGTACACATTGGATATAATGGTAGAGCCTCATGGACAACAACAATTCATATTCAATGAATGTAGTACCGTACAAACCAATGCAAGAAAGAAGTGGAAAGGGGATCGTCTATACTCTTGATGCAAGAAATCTCCAATGGAATGATAAAGAATTATCACTTTAATTTGGATGCAAATCTTAATTAAGAAAATGTTTGAGTTATTCAAATATCATACAAATAAACAATGACTTGCATTGTTCAATGAAACTACAAACACAAATTGCTTACAAGCAATACGAAAGTTATAGAAGATGCCTCATGATTTCATAGAATGCCTTTGACAAATAATGAAGCTTACAAGTAGAGGACAATAATTGATTAACAATGTTCATCCCAATCATGCAAATCGATGATTTGAAATAATTGTGATAGATGTGGGGTGTTTGTGATGAATAAAAGGCAATCTCTTACGAGTTATCGTAGAAAACCTATTACATACACACAATCTACAAGTAAATGTCCAAAGGGCTCCAACAAATACATGCATCTACAATCAAGGCAGGAGATTAGTTGGTGCATTACGATCCACTTGCAGAAAGCAACGAGTATTGCACGATAGTATACCTGTACGAAGCAGCGAACAACTCTATTCAGAAGCTGCTACGCCACGCCACCGGATCCGCAAAATTCGTATTAGCGGACAGAAGACGTTATGTAAATATTCTAAAAATACCCCCGCATATGCACCGTAGTTTGTATACACATAGGTACACTAAAAGGGGTAAAGCAATCATAGAACCCGCATGGGCCCCGACGAGCGTGTTATTGGTACACACGTGACATCTAGGGATGCTGCGCGGGTTATTAAATTTGAACCCGATCATTCTAAGAAGATAAAAGGAGTTGACAGGGTTCAATTATAAAATGCCCCCAAACACCCGCATGGGCCCCGGCGAGCATGTTATTGGTACACATGTGACGTCTAGGGATGCTGCGCGGGTCAATAAGTGAATTCTGGTTTGAACCTGATCCTCCCATATGGATCAATAGGAGTCGACAAGGTTCGAACCCTCAAATAAATACACGGTTGTGGCAACCGATGTATTTATTTTAATACATTCATATTAGGCCTTCAAAGCCTATAATCAGAAGAATTCACTAACAAGGGCACGAAACCTACGAAACCCGATCCTCTGTCAACAGCCAGACAGAGTCGACAAGGTTCAAGCTACAAAGTGAAAGTGACCCAAACACCCCGATGATGGCCGTGTTGAATGTTTATCTCAACCGGAGGGGTTCACAAATATTTCCAATGCCGTTCCAAATATCTAAAAATCCAAAAAAAAAATCTCAAAAATCCCAAAATACCAAAAATATTTAAAATTTGAAACAATCCATTTCAATGCTTAAAGCAAAATCCATCCACCCTCCGCAACAGTTTGCCGGGGTGGACAAATCAAAATTTATCTCAGCTCACAAAAGAGCTAAATGCCTAGTCGAAAATATTACTATGATCCATTCTCAAAAAGTCTTATGTCAGTAAGAATGTGGTACGTGTCCTCTAACCGGCAGTTTCGCCGCCAAATGGCACTGCAGGTAAACGGTTATGATCCGGGGCCCTCTGAATCGAGTGGTCTTGCCGCCAAATGGCACCACGCAATACCGGTTATGGCCAGCGCCGTTACGTTCCTTATTGGCATCAAATCCTTGAGATATGAATCAATAGGATATGATCGATAGGGCACAAAGCCCTATGTTAGCTAAGGTGGATTCAAATTTGTCCCCTTAGACAAACATTCACCCCCGGTCTACAAGGTCCCCTTGGACGAAGCAACCCATGGCTGCCGACAAGGATCCTTCTGTCAAGTTGGGTCGACTACATCCTCTGACTAAGTAGGCCAGGGACCACGATGGCCAGGGACGACGGAACAATAGGATCTTGATCGGGCCCATCATCTACTTTAAGTGAGAGATGGTGAAATTTCTATTTTAAATATTAAATCTTTCCAAATATCCAAACTTCCTAAATTCACAAATCCAAATCCAGTTCTCAAATTCCAAACCCTTGCTGCTACTATATGTCAGATACCACGTATTCTCTACGTATCTAATTGACGACTAGCCTTAATCGAAAGTTCTCTCTCGTGATCGGGAGGGGTAATTTGAGAACTGGATTTGGATTTGTTCATTTAAGGGGCTTGCACCTATAGGAAACCAGAACTCGGATCATAAAGTCCTCGCAAAATGAGGGCGAAATCTCTGGGTAGTGTCTTATCTACAAACCTATCCACCTTCCAAAATTTACCCCGGAACTTTATTCAGTTAAAACTCCCTCGCCAAATAAAAAAGAAAAGGCGGGCGGAGGCCGGGGCCGAATTTTCGGAGCCCACAATTTCAATATTTGTAACATAAAGAATCTAAATAATATATTCATTTAAGATTAATATATCCAAACTCCACATCAGAAAATCACTACCATAAATAATAAAGATAACAAAAATGAACAATCTTACATAAAGTAAAGCAAAAATGATGAAGTAAAGTTGACATAAACATGTAGCAGAACATAGATAGGAAGTAGAATAACAATTTTGTGCAACAAGAAGAAAAAACAAACCTGGTAGCTCCAAGTCCAACATTATGTGGAAATATAGTAGCCTTATAGACATTACTGTGGCCATGAACTGCATCAATACCATATATCATTGGAATCCCTAAACGAGTAGAAAGAGCTCCCTTCTGTATCTCATTTACCATATCCACCCAAAGCTTCACAGATGCCTTTGGTGCAGGCACACTTCCTGCTCCACTCAAAACACTACCTGCATTATTTTCAAATAATATTACTTCTTTTGCTTCTTGGGGGGAATTTGGGGCAGAAGCTCATTCATTTCAGTAAAAGAAAGATTACAAGTATGAAAAAGAAATAAAAAAAGAACTCATAATGCTCTACGAAACGTGAATCCCAACAAACAAATAAGAGCATCATAGACCGTCCAAGGAGGAGCTGGGCAGCACCAACATTCATCATCATCCAATCCAAAATTATTCGACTTGAGATGAGAAATAAAGTAAAATTTATGAAAATAAAGTACCTATAAAGCGCTCTGCCATAACTTCTGCTGTTGCGTTTTCCCTGGCAATTTGAGCCATTTGGCCTATCTTCTCAGCAAAAGTCATCCTGCTTAAAAGATCATTTACTCTAACATTCAAAGGTTGCCTTGGGTCTTTATACTTGAGATGATCTACTCCTCCCACTGCAATCCAGCCATTTAGGAATAGCAGTGCAAAGAGAAATGTTAGCACAGTTTCCATCTTCAAATATTACCACAACCTGCAAAAAAATCCAGGCATCATCAGCTTTTCCTTAAAAAAAAAACTTCTTCCAGAGTCTAATAAATTTGATTATGAAAAGCTATTTTTCATGTCAAAATTTTGTGAAAAGTTGCAGCAAACTAGAACTATCCAAAAAACATTAATGAAATTCAGTTATTCTTTTTAATAAATAAATAATTTTATAATTTTAATAAAGCATATTTTATTTATGATTCTTTTTATTCCATCAAATATTGCAATAATATTTATTTCAATGTTACCAATTCAGCATCTCCTTCAGCATAAAGCACAGCAATACCGAATAAAGCTCCAAACAACAAAAAAAAGGAGAAATTATTCTGTGCGGACCGTCCAGAAGCAAATCAGACTGTGTCATGTTATCTGGTACACAACAAAAAAATGACGTGATACACTCTGATTTGCCTCCTGACCTGTCCGGTGATTTAACAAAATAATTGGAAAAGAGATAGAATAGCATATTTAGATTATTTCCTATTACTTTTTATTTACTGTTGATCTATGTTTGGATGGATGTGATCAATCAAACAAGTTTGAAAGGATTAGACAGTTGAGATCAGCTAAAGTGCCAGGTCAAACTCAACCATGGACTTAACACCCTACAAGATTAGACTTCATTGAAGCAGATGGGATACAACTCCATGGAAATTGCAGAGAAACAAAAGCAAGGAGATCCAATTCATTGATAAACTAAAATATTGAAGCTCCAACACTGAGCTTTGCTGCTAAAGGATCTGAGAGTATATAGCTGTTCTAACTCAATCCCTTTTTTGCTCATTCCATGGCTCAAAAGTGGCGAAATTTGCCAGATTCATAATTAGATTTTCTTAGCTAAAAATCAACCATAGTTTCAAACTTTAAGAACTCCTTCAAAATCTTTCAAATAGAAACAAAAAATCAATGAAGATTAGTATTTTAAAAAATATATTTTTTTGTTTTCCAGCAATCAAATGGAGACAAATCTATTTGTGATGAGGATAATCGTAATGATAGCAACGAAACGATCTTTTCAATTACTTTGATGGTGATGTTTGTGCATTGTTGACAACTTTATCATGTAGAAGATATTGGAAAGGATAAGAAAGTAAGGGGAAAACAGAGACTAAAAGAAACGCAGATTCCAATCCAAGCTTCACCCAGCAAGAATATCAGTTAATAAAAGAAGAATAGCACCATAACCTCCATAACATCATAATTTAGTTGCTTAATTAAAAACGCAGTACTGTAAACAAATGAAATATATCACTTCCATAACAAGAGAACAGAAAGAGAGAGAGAGAGAGAGAGAGAGAGAGAGAGAGAGAGAGAGAGAGAGAGAGAGAGAGGTCTTACCAAGCATAACCAAGACGAAACTGAAAGACAGAGAGATGTTGAGAGAGAGATGGAGTACAGAGAAGTCGGGGGCATTTACAGTAGAGGGAAAGTGTACAGTAGGGTGCTGGAGAAGATAGCGCATTAGCGCAGACAGCAGACTAGCAGAGCGAAGAGTAGAATAAGGCCACCAATAACTGGACTTAAAAGTGATTGTGACGGCTTCGGCTGAATATTTGTTCTTATTACTTTGACTCGAACCAGGGTCCTTCAAAACGAGAAATTATTGTGTACGTAATTTGAACGTGTTCGAATGTGCGTATACATTATTTAATTTGTTGCGTATTTTTTTATACATAATTTTTTCGTGTCAAAATAAGTAGCCAAAAAAAAAAAATCATTAAATACACAAAAAATACGCAAAAAATATGTAGAAAAGATTATGTATAAAAAAATACGCAAAAAAAAAAAACAGTGTATACGCACATTCGAACATGTTCGGATTGCGTACACAATAATTTCTCCCTTCAAAGAAAGTGTTTGGAGCGTAATTAATTCATTGACGGAAACTACTGAGACAAATCACTGGCATCCGGACTCAAACTTATTTTGCCCCACTGAAGAGGCGAGGCCGTAGTAGAGGGATTCGAACTTGGGACGGGAGGTTCCGAACCTGCTCTCCCACCAGGGCCACCAACCACCCTAAGCCTCGTGAGTAAATTTAGGTGGGTTTTTTTTTTATCTTTTTTATTAGTGCATCATTAACTAAGTAGGTAACATAATTATCTAATAAAAATTAATCTTAATTCAAGGTTTAATTACACTAATTTCTGAGTAGCGTTTAATTTATGAGATGTATGATTTAGTTCGATCTAAAGTTAAAGAAATAATATATAAGCATTGATACGGCATCGCAAAATTATCTTGATCAGGCACGAATCTCGAGGTAAAACCTAGTTGGAAACTTCAAAAGATAATTTCGGGAGCATATGAACTCCGATTTCAGCGAGCTTACAGTCAAACTGAGCGTCTCGGAAATACAAACCCAACGACACCAAGATCAACCCAATCCGAGCCCAAATGAGTCCAAATCAAAGGTTCGAAGCGCTGTTGGGAGGTTCAAACCGCAATTTGAGTTACCAAACGGTCTCCGATTTTGACGAGCTTATACTCGAATCGAACGGCTCGACGAGACGAATCCAACGAGCCCAAGATCATCAAATTCCAAAATCATTAAGGCCTTCAAATGTCCAACGAACAGTGCA